ACGTGTGTGCAGACACAGTATTAGAGCACTAGTGTAAATTTACTTATGTCCAATAAAGACAGAGAAAAATGTGTTGGGTTTATTGTAGTTAACACAAAACTGTCATGCATTTTTAACACAGATTTAAAGCCGGAGGTCATTTTAGTTTTATCCAAAAGTCAATACCAATAGATCTGTCTGCAGCAGCCAGTCGCTTTTTTGGAATATTTGCCTTTGGTTGTTCCTTAAATTTGCTGCTTTTAAAGCAATTTGAAGAGCTGTGGAAATATTCTCCTGGGATGCACTAGCTTTATGTGGGCTCAATAAGCCATCGTGGTGACTTGAAGGTGTTCTAGCTACCCGAGAGGCTGAATAAAGAAGGGAAAAAAATCTATTTCTTCAGCTGTTGCTCTCACCCACTCTGACGCATATTTGTCGTGTTTGTCACATTTAAAGCATGCTGTATTTTCTTTAAATGGTTATTTCTTCCTTTGGTTAGATATTAATTTCAATTTGAGAACAGCAAAACTACCTGATTCTTATTTTTAGAAACTCATTCACTTTTTGATTTTCAGTCTAACGTTAGCAACTCTGCGTCACTTCTCTAATCAGAACCGGGGGTTTGTTAGTCTTGAATTGTGTTTAATGAAAACACATACAGGTTTTGAGTCTGTGTTAACTATGTTATTTTTTCCTTATGTCCCCATTTATTAAAAATGCTGTAAACAACTATGAAGCAAAACAATTTACCATAAATGGTACTGTAAATAAGCTAGGTTAATAGTAAAACTCAATAGTTGTCACTGCTTTTAGCTAACAGGCTTCTGAAACTCAGGTTTATGGCCATGATTTCACAGTGTTATCCATCATAATCGTTAACCTGTTGCATTTAGAATTCCTGGAAAAGCTTGAGCCACTTGGGCGCCGGCGAAAGAATTATTATATTTTGGTTTATGCACGCGCATTAAACACAAATCTTGGATGGCTGGGACAGCAGTTGGATTTTTAGCCATGTCTTCCAACTCGTCCTAACTCCACCTTCTTTGCTGCAGCTGGCAACTGTAATCCTTGTTCTGCTCTTGAGGGCCACTCCAACCAGAAGCTGGGACACAGAGATCTTCAAAGCTACAGAGCAGTACAAGGACTACCTTTTCCAACTGTAGGACATGCTAATATGATGCAGCTTTGTCCCTCCACACTGTTGTTTGCAATAATTTCTTCTTGAGTCTTGTTGTAGTCAAAGTTATGGTTTCCCTACTTTAATGCATAATTCATCCTGTTTCATCAGCATTCTAAAGCATTCACTAGACCCTGATGGGGGAGATTTATGATGTAGAAAACTAATCTCTTTCACCTGTACAGGCCTATAGTAAAGAAAGAAATAGCTTTGCAGTCTGTGCTCACTGAGAAATGGATGAGGGCCTTTAGTGTTACTTGATGCAGTGAAGTAAGCCGGCCAGATATGATAATCATAAAAGCGAGTGTATACAAACCCTTATGCATGCAAAACATATATCATACAACATACATTCCTCTTTGCCTCATCCCGTCTTAAATAATCCTGGCAGTGTTTCTATAGTCTTTCCTTTTTTTTTTTTTTTTGTCTTGACACTGTAGAGTTTTAATTTGCATATGTGGATGCAGAAACAGACTGGGTTCAGTGTGCTTTACATACTCAGTCATGTTACTGAACAGGGTTCTGTCAGTGAAGCTATTTTTTTCCCCCTTAAATTTACATTTTCAACAGCATTGTAGTCATGAACGGAATTCAGTACGTGCTGCAAACAGATGACGCAAAATCTAGAAGCTTTTATTTAAATGTCAGTATGCAGGCGTTTTTCTAAATAATGAGCCCCATTTCTTATCCACATCAAATCCATGCAGAAACACTAGGGGCTTATGAGGATGATGATTTTAAATGGCCTCAGGTAATGGACAGCTCAGATGGATATAATTGCTTATTTATATACAGGCTTCCGCTTTGCATGGTAATGGATCAGGTGGTGGGCTTTAGGTAGCCATCCTATAATAAGAGCTTTTCCATCTTAATGACTTATTTAACGATAAAATGGAAATGTTTCCAGGTACGTGCTGAGAGTCACAGCAACTCATGTAGGTTAAAATAGAAAGGGGCACTCGAAATTTGGCTTTTTCCACACAAATCCCTTTGTGTCGGGGACTGTGTGTGCAAAAACAAAATCCAAGTTAGCAAGTCACTGTTAAATGCTACTACTGAGTTGTAATTGCAGCCTTGTGTTACACCCTTCCACATGCACACTTCCACCTCTCCCTCTGTCACTCGATTATGCAACAGTCCTGTCTTGCAAGTCCTTGCAGGATCTCAGCTTTGGATTGTGTAACGCTGAGAGGGGAACGGGCTGTAAGGCCTCACATTTAGCCGCAGAGAATCCCAGCGACGCCTCGCCACATCCAGCAAATATTTGAGTCCTCAGCGGACATTTTTCCGCCACACTGACTGCACAGCCACTGGCACTCTAATTATATCCCTTTGTTTAACCAGTGGGATTATGTTTTTCTTCCAGCTTATTTTTATAGTTTTCTGTGGCTGCTTTCATCCACAAGCAGATATGATTGATAGTGAGATAATACTTTAGTTATCCCCAAGGGGAAATCCAGATATCCAGCAGTTTGGTCAAAAAACAAACATCCCTCTGGTCATAAATAATAATAATATTATTAATAATAAAACAATAAGGTAAAGTTTCACAATACCTTCTTACTTCCCTTTGTGGGAAAACTTGGTGGGAACGTTTTGATGAACTAACATGCTATACAGGTAAGGGTGGGGGTAAAAATGTGCCATGTTGTTTACTTGACTCCTTAAATCCATCTTTTCTGTGAGTTACTATCTTGTAAAAGTCAGTTTGAGGAAGTCTCACGGAGACTGAACAATCCTAGAGGTTTGAAATGCTGCACAAAGGTAATACTGCTTTCATGCACACAGGCCTACAGTTAATATAATAAACAGCTTTACAGTATCTGTGCTTGCTTAGTAAAGGAAGAGAGCCTTTTATGTTACTTGAAACCAATAAAGTAAGCAGCCCAGAAAAGATTGTCCTGAAAATACAATTCCAACAGCACTTCTGTTACAAAACCTACCGCTTTTCCTTTATGAAAAGGGAATCTTAAGTTCTGACAGTCATGAAAGTGTGTGCAATGTTGGTCCAAGACTCGTATAAACCCTCCTTTTCACTGTTACAAGAAATATTGTGTCATTTTTAGCAAAATAAAGCTTTCAGTTTTGTTTAAACAGGCAAGAAGTAACATAGCTCTCAGCAAAGAATGTGTTGTGAATGCTTATTCATTGTAAAATTCAGAAACTTTATAATTCAAGTCTAGCTGGAGCTAATGATGGTCAGAAAGAGACTGTCCATAGGTGTTTATCATGGCATAGAGGTGCACTGTATGAAGCACATCGTGTGACAGAAAGTGCAGTTCACCTCGTCGTCTTTTATTGGTTCTAGTGCAACTAGCATGTTATTTATGTTATATTCATTCCCTCTAAGTTTTTGTGCAGTAGTTGTTGTAGGAAAGATTTCTAACGGCATATTTAAAACTGTCATTTTTGTATTATCCACGTGACAAATGTGGTAAATGAAAGTGGTGCTCTGACTTTAGAATTCTTGTGTTAGCATGATTTGGCTAACTGCTTTATCTTTTTGGCTTATTAAAAAAAAAATAGCTTCAAGAAATGAATTTGATTTAATTTCAACTTTTACAAACTGATTTGGATGGTTAGAACTTATTTAAACAACCACTTTGTATTTCAAATGAAATTCTCTTCATAAAAGGGCTGTAGCTTAGAACTAAGTTTCAGTTAGCAAGTAAACAGGAAGCGGATTGTTTACTTTTCTATAATATTCTTCTGTAATATTAAATTAGATGTTCTATCCTTTGATAATATTTTTGCCTATGAAATAATATATCAGTTACTCATAATCAGAAAAAAAATGGTTGAACTAATTACATTAACTTAATTCTTTTAAGATTTTTTTTTATTTTTATTTTTGCCTTTGCTGCTGTTGTTGCAGGATGAGGTCGAAATGACCACACTGGTGGTTCTAGTGTTCAGCTTATATTAGCCACATGATTGGGAGGATTTTTAACAGCCCACAGAATACTTGAAGTGAAATTTTAGCATACAAAGTGTATAGATAGTTCTGTTTTGTTTTGATGTTGGAACTAGCTAGGTTAGCTAGTTCTTGCTAATACTGCTTTAGCAAATAGCTTGTAATTTAAACGCTAAAGAGACAAATGATTTTTATCAACATTCACTATTAAAGCTTAGGTTGTATTTACAAGTTGTTCTGATCACAAGAAGATTTCAATTACTACACAGGGCAAACTTACTTTTCACCTTCTCCCTTTTTACATTGCAATTTTTGGTGAAATTTACTCAAGCTCACAGAATAGCTGTTTACAAAACACTTTTCAATTGAAAAAGCTAATTTCGCTGCACTGGGTATAGATTTGTGAGCTATATTGTTTATGGTTTCCAGTCATTTTCTAAGCTTATTGCAATTTAACTACACTCATTCCTAAATAAAAAGCCAAACCACTGTGATGCTGCTACTGGCATTAAATCGACGTTCTCTTTTCTGATGACAGTGAATATAATAACACCTTTCAATAGGTGATATTTTTTTTTCCAGTGCAGGCACAGGGGAAACTCATATTTAGTTAACCTGGATTGACCATTGCAAAAAGCAAACATGGCATTTAAATGTGCTTGCATAATGTGCTGTATTGATTTGTTTTGTGTTTTTTGTTTTGTATTTTATTGTTTAAAAGCTCAATCATTTTTTTTCCTTCAATTGCTTGATTGACCTCTCAGTACAGAATGTGAGCATGTCAATACGTGTGAAATTTAAATAATACAAGATTCCTTGAGGGCTTTTTTTGGTTTTTTTATGTTGATTCTCTCCTTCTTGACTATCAATAGACCATCAATAAACCACACTACCGTTCCTTTTTTCCCTCCACATGAACAATGCTGACAGCACTTTTCCACACCGCCAGAGCTGGACTGGGACAAATAATCGGCCCGGGCATTTTGACTAGAGACCGGCCCACCAAAAATGTGACGTCATTCAGGGGTAAAACCGCAAAGGATTCTGGGAACTCGTGGCAAGAGGTACTAGCGCACGCAGGCTTTCAATTGAACTCAGTTACACAGCGATAAAAAAACCCACAAAAAATGGCAAGAAGCTGTTGTATTATTAACTGCAATAGCCGGTGTTGTGCCAAAAAGTGATTGTCTGCCAAAAACTGTTTTCCGGTATTTGTCAAAAACTGATTGCTCGTATTTAAATTGCTATAAGTAACTTGTTGGTCTATAATATGTGAAACATATGTCAAATGCATCCCTCATGGATGACATAAAGTCATCTCTCCATCTCTTTCTGCTGCTCTTCTGTCTCCTCTGTCACAGACTTCTCCACTTTTGATGATAAATCAGCCTGGTGCAACATGTAAGGATTGGCACAATTTGTTAAGATTTTGAGGAGTTTGAGAAACTAACCTTAAGCATAAAATAAAATTTACTATCAGTAACTTCATAGCACCCGCCCAGCAGTATATAAACTCCGTCATGCTAGCTAGTACGCAGTACCAGTTATTCTAAGCGACTGTAAAAAGTCAACACAACGAAAACAAACTACAACTAAACTTGGTTTATATCTGACACAGACAGCAGGTCATAACTTCTTACCTGAAGTTCAGTTCCTCTGCCACTATAACCGGCGGCCGCCTGGGGTCTCTCCTCCTCTTGCCTCCCCTTTCCCTTATCCACCTGCTGGCCTCCATCACTTGCTGATGTTGCTAAATCTGTGGAAGCTATGCCATAGCCATATTGCCATAACAATTCAGTTATTTTTACACATTTGGCAGCATCTGCCTGAAGGGCTTGTTTCTTTTTGGCCCTAATTTTTTCTGCACCTCGTTTCCTTTTTTGTTCTCCATTTTCTTTAGTTCGTCTATAAGATTGCTAAACAGGGGGGGGGGTGCATCCGACCTCCTCGGCTGTAATTGGTCCAGCCCAGAGTCGATCATGACCAATTGGCCAATCCAACACCTTTCATTATTTATACCCTTCCAAAAAAATCCTACCATGTGAATTCATGGATTTTTTTTTTTTTCACATTCTGTCTCTCACAGTTGAAGTGTACCTCTGGTGCAAATTACTGACCTCTGTCATCATTTTAAGTGGGGGAACTTGCACAATCGGTGGCTGACTAAATACTTTTTTGCCCCACTGTACATGCTGTGATTATCTGAAAGTAAGAATATTCTTTTGGTGTAATTGGATGTTTTTTCCTTCAGTGGTGAGTGTCAGGCAGAGATTTAAATTGTTGCGATTTCTGGCCTTCATTTACTCATCACGTTCCTCCTTTTTGCACCTAAACATTTAAAGAATCTAAAGAAGTTTATTTTTGCTCTTTATTTCCTGCATTTGTTTGTTATTTACACGGCTTCCTTGTGATTTTTATGTTTGGCTTTTTAAGATTTAAGCTTAATAGAATATTCACGCTGCAGTGCACATGTTGGCACACTTGGCAAAACATTGTGTCGCCTCATTCCTCTTGATCAGGTTTCACTTCCATTCTCTGTGGAAATAAATAGACGTGTTGTATCCGTTCTCAAAGACGAACCCTTTCCTTTATAACACAAAGATGCACACCTGTGCCGAGTCTGCCAGAGGTTTGGAGAATTGTTGAAACAAAGCACTGCACTGTTGTTAATGCTTACTGTATTACAATATCTCATGTCTCATAAAAAATAATGTATTAGATTCAGGTTGAGCATCTTGGAGACCAGTTTAAAGAGACAAGCCTGAGATGGTTGGGACATGTGCAGAGGAGGGATGATGGATATTCTGATGTTGAATACAGAGCTGCTAAGCAGGAAGAAAAGAGAGATCACAGAGGAGGTTTGTGGATGTCATGGAGGAGGACATGCAGAGGGTTGGTGTGGATGCTCGGGGCAGGGTGAGATGGAGGCAGATGATTCGCTAGTCTTTTCTAAAGTACAGTAAGGTTAGCCTAGACATGTTTACTTGGCTTACTTTTAGCTGACCCGTTACAATGATATGCATGATTTCCAGATCCACATGGACAACAGAGGGGTGTAAACTCTGTCACTTTTTTATATTGTATGCACACTCAAAAAAATCAAAAATCAAATGCACAGATCTGATCTCCGGTTAAGGTATCCCCTAACTGTTTCTATTCAAATCACTCCACACGTGTGTTTCTGATGCCAAGAACACAGTGATGGGAAACGCATACAATCTCACTTTTGAGTGTTGTAGAATTAACTGAACTATTGTCGTCTGTAATCACATGAATCTGGTAACCTATCGGATTATCTGAAAAAGAAAGCCCTACAATGCTTTCCTTTTCCCCCCCCATTGCGAGAAAACCTTTAGTCGGATGATAATGGTGAGGATGAGACTAATATGTGAGACCCTGCAGCAAAGCAATAACAGGAAGGAGCAACTGTGGAGAGCGATCTAATATTTAAAGATCACATTAATGTGATCAGCAGGCAGAAAGTATATTTAGATGAATGGATGAAGGAACACAGAACTATAAACACAAACAGGAGGCTAGGGTTGAGCTCAAACAAGGTCTACAGTGGTTCATTTTTGAATTTCTTTAAATGTTGCACCTCATTTCATTTGAAATAACTAGATTTGTTGCCTGCCTGTTACCATACATTTTTGGCTGTTCGTCTTCCCCTTAAGAGGAAGGACAATGAATTGAATAGTATCTACTGTATTTTTGGATTTTTCTCACTTACAGGCAGTTTTCCAACATCTCCAAACTACCCTTGTTTTGACTTCAGATGATTTAGGCGATCATATTTTAAACCAAAATAAGAAAATTATTAAAAGCCTGCTTTCACTTTATGCACACAGTGTATTGTGCTTTTTTTCTTGTGTCCTCTGAAATACAGATTCAGGGATCATAACCCTTATAAGAGGGGCGCCTCAGTTTCAGCTGTATATATTCAGTTTTGTGTTATATACTGGGATATTAATAATTAGAGCTATTTGTTGTTATTTGCTATTGTTTTGGTAGTCGTGGAGCAACTGTGACCACATACTTTATTAATCCCAGAAGAAGGTATTCTGATTCTAACTGTGGCATTTTAAATGCTATTGCTGCCATTAAGAGATGGAAGGGAGGGAAAGCCCCGGTGCCTTTTTATGGCTGTATGTGAAGCTACAGTTTCACACTGAATCTGGAGCTTGCCTCTCTTGCTGCAATAAGGAGGAGTTCGTAATCTTCACATAATATGCTGTTTACAGTCTTCCCCTGGTGTAAACTCATTCTGTGTGTTTCTTACAGGCTCTGTTAGCAGCATGGGACAGCATCTAGGAAAGAAGGAGCCCAACACAGACGGCAAGGTAAGAGGGCTCATCGCAGCTTTATATTAGTTTTCTTTTATTTGTGTGCGAGCGGTGGCTGTTATCTGCTGGACTTTGGACTCTGTGGCACAAAAGCTGTTGGGCTCCTTCACTCATGCTAATTTACTGCTGCCGCTGAGCTTTGAGCAGGAGTGACAACCAGTTTAGAGAGTGTGTGTGTGTGTGTGTGTGTGTGTGTGTGTGTGTGTGTGTGTGTGTGTGTGTGTGTGTGTGTGTATCTAAGATTTTTGTGGCAAGTGTTTTGGGTTTTTCCTTTGTTTCCAAGCAATTTAGTCAATGAGATTGAGGTTTTGTATTTTTAGTTGTTGCTAGACTGGAATAAGAAGCATGCTCAGTGTACTTTATATTGATCTCTAAAAATAGGGAAACCCTAAACCTTGGCACACCTGAGGCAGTCATTTTTAAAATATAATTCTGTGTAGACTTGAATTGCTGCAAATTTTCAAGAGATAATATTCGGCACGCTCAGTTTTCAACAGCCGGCATCCCACTCTTAATTGAACCATGTTGCCATGGCGATATCCCAGGCACCACGAACCTCCGCGGTTCTCTTGGGTCATCCCCTCGAAACAACAAGCCTCTCCGCAGCACCACTCTACGAGAGAACCCATTTGAACTGGAGAGAGTAAATAGATGATGGCGTGCATCAGGGCTGACATTAAACCCTCTCCAAGTACACATCTCATTTAAACATTAGCTTTGGCCCAGTGATCAGCTGCGCTCAGATGGGCTACCACCCTGCTAGTGGGTGTAGAAATAAAAACACCACATTTTGGGGAATTTTTGCCCATCTGAGTCGAGAAGATAAACTGTTGCTGTGTCAGTGCACTTGGCTAAAAATAATGAACTGGAAGGTGACGCTGGCTGGTAATTTCCTGTGTGCTGCTGCTGAGAGCCTGAGCACAGATCAGTGAAGTTAGAGCCAACAAATACTCCACCTCTAACAGGAGTGCTATAGCTTAAGCAGAAACTATGGTATAAAATAAACTATGATCCAGTGGAGAATTAAGTGTAGTTCGTGCCGCGAGTCGACAAATAGACTTTTTCAAATTGGCTAGGACGCAAGGTGTGCTGCTCTGCCCTGGGGCTAATGCTCCGCAGAAACTGCTTCTGATAGTGTTGTATTTAAACAGAACAAATCTCGGTGTGACTTTCTTGACTCATCTGTGTGCTCTGAGACTGTGCTTCTGTATGCCAAGCGTGGAGGCGTACCTGGCCAATGCCTGTGACGGGCAGAGCGGTCATGTGGTGAATGGGGGAGCCCGAACCAGCAGGGGTGCTGCTGATGCAGCCCACGCATGATTTGTCTCCTATTCCTGCAAAAACACACACTGGAGAGTGCGGAGCAGAAGCAGGAGAAGTGGATGTATTAGTCACGTGCCGAGCTGGTGGGAGAGGTGTTGGGGGAAGCGTGTCGCACTAAAGCAGCATTGTTTAGCCTATGCAGACACATATTGTGCCGTATATCTTTCTTTGTATATCATTTATTTTCCCCTTTCTTTCAGCTCCATTATCGTAAATTGAAGTCAATTTTAAAAGGTCTGGCCAAAGAGCAGGTTGTCATAGTGACCGTGGAAAGGGAACAAAGCGTGACAGGGTAAGGCAGGTTGTGTTTAGATGCTGAAGTCAGAGTCATGATCCTTCTCCCAATCCCTTATCAGTTGTACCTATCCCTTCACTCACACACCAGGCAAAGTGTTTCTCTGTCAGCTTTCGGACAATTTCTCACCGCTGTTATTTTTCATCTCTAAATCCCACCTGGATGTATAAGATGATAACACTGGCCTTTTTATTTTGCCAGAGTAGAAATTTAGCCATAATAAGGTTTGATCAAATGTGCTTTTAGTGGCTAGTGCTTTTGAAGATTTCGCAGAACTCCCGATAGAATACAACCCAGGACTTAAATGAGTCACTGGAAAACATAACAGAGTAACGGATAAGAAATATTTGCTTTTCCTTTGCTGCTACTGTATATTGGTCCTGCTCGGATGTAGTCTGATTGCTGTGTTGTCAACACTTGATTACAGACAGAGGCACAGGCTGTTGCATGCTTACAGTTTGTATAAACAGTATTGACTAAATTTGGCAAAGTGTGAGCAAATTTTTAAATGAGAACCCCCAAAAAAAGCAACAAATGCTACATCGACACATGAATAGCAGCCCAAGCTAGCACCCATTTGCACGGCTTCTTGCAGTTTCTACCACCGTTTTGTTTGTGCTCATTAGTGGCCAACCACAGGCTTTGTGGCAATTCATGCTGAGACCATTTTTGCTCAGCGACATTTAAAGAAATTGACTTTACGCTTATCTCAAATGTCAGCAATTTTACCAGGATGTGGTAGCATAATGCAGACTCTCTCCCCCTCCCCACCTAGAAGTACCTCTTCTTACCCATGTTGCGGACTCAGAGATACTATCAAAGCCACCAGTTTGTCAACTGACAAGAAGTTTTAACAAAGGGTTACTTTTTCCGCCTTCAAGCTCAAAAACAGCATGGGAAAGTGGCTTTTGTTACAGGAATACTATTTTCCCAGTGCTGCTTCAGGGAATTTGCAGTTACATTCTCACATGGTTTTGTGAGCCATTCTGGGAAATGTAACAAAGGAAACGACAGAAGAAAATTTTCTTGGTATGATGGTCCTGAAATGGAAAAGAATACATTCATAGAAGTATCTAGTTAGAATAATCATCGCTAGAATGAGAGCACATATTCAGACAGGCAGACAGTTTCCTAGTCTACAGATGTGCAATTTTAAGCAACGATATGCAAAATAACTTTGGGGTGGGGTGTGGGGGCTCACTTTTCTCAACTAAGGTGAGTGATTGAAGTGAACATTAGTCAGAGTGCAGGATGCCACTGATTGGCATATGAGTAGTCATAGATGAGTTGTTCATAAAGGATTTTACCCCTTAGCAGTAAACCTACAACGAGGGCTTTGAAGAGGCAGAAAAAACAGCGTAGAGCTACAGAAGCTCACCAAAATACTCTTAAGTGATGATTAATGTCATCATTATTAAGTGATTAAATTAAATAAACCAGTTTGTATAATCTGTCTTTTTATGTTGAGCTGATCCAACCATCACTAATGTGTCTGTCACATTGATAATTAAATTGTGTTGATTGACTTCCACCTTTAAAAAAATGCTGTTAGCTGCTAGTTGCCTGCGACTGGCACTGCAAATTTAGCTTTTTGTCTCTTTAGTGATGAAGGCAGGCGGAGAAGGAGAAGTAGGGACAGTTAACTTCATGAATGAGTCATAGGCTGTGTTCTATTTACATTGATACTCAAGTCAGAGAAGCCCCACCCACCTGACTTTGCAATCCAAGACTGCGGCAGTGTACATGCGTACGAGTAAAACTTGCACTCGCTGTAGAAGCCATATACAGAGCAGTGACCAGATTTTATCACCATGCTTTATTTGTGAATGTGTTTTTAACCATAAAAACATTGCTGTATTGCCAGTGATGCATGAAAGGCTCTGCCTTGCTATGGAGCAAAGCAAAGCTTGTTTGTTCTTGCATTTCCAACTACCTCTACTACTAAAACAACTGTCAGCTCCCACATCTGAACTTTGAGGTAAAAGGAACACAGCAGTTTATTTAACATTTGTGGTTATAGCTGACTAATATATGATGTAAATTTGCTACCAAGAACCTTGGTTGCACTCACAGACATGCAATCATATGCCATCAATATTCTCAAGAAATTTAAAAAAAAAAAATTGCAAAGAGGAAGGACTACTGCCGGGATAATGTTTGTGGTCGATCTCATGACAGAGTCACCCACATCACTCACTGCTGTAAGTTTAGAAATGAAGGTGATCGTCAGATGTTTTGCAACAGGAAAAATGCAACCGAGCTCTTTCACAGTAACCGACTTACAAAAGCCATTCACAGACATTAAACTGATAAAGGCTGAATGATTTCCTGTGTCAGTATCAAATAGACGACGTACCAGCGTGGTACTGTAAATAAACATAGGGTAGGTGAACCTACCTCACAGGTAGGTCTGCGGTTTCAAACACTTTGTTAGCTAAAATAAAGGTGTTAATTACATTGTAGTATTTATATTTACTCTTATGTCTCCAATTAAATTCTATGATTAGGTCTAACGATTTCAGTCGATTGTGCTCTGGATCACTGGGACTAGAATGTTTGTGACTTACTAGGTTCCAGCATTATCCCGTTTGGCTGGCAAGCCTGTGTGCTTGATCAGTGTAACGCCCACCTGGGTAATGACAACTGGTTACTGCAATGCTCACTGAAACGCAGAGCAGAGTGAATGCAGACTATGTTTTTGATTTCCAGTCTCTGAGCTAAGAAACTGCTTGGACAGGTGATCTGTCTCACTACAGATCACCTGTAGAATTTTCCAAACACCTTCAGCTACACAGGAAATAAAAATACAGTGTTAAAGGAGGAAAGCACAGATTGCAGATGATGAAATTGAAAGTAACAAGTTGTAATTATTCTTACCTTACTAATTCAACTTTATATGAAAGGATTTTAGGACCTTTGACGTTAGCCGTTTCTGTAGACGAGCCATGTGGATATCTTGCAGCTCATAACCTTAAATTAGGTCCTTTTGTAATTTCACAAAAATAAGTTATGTGCTACTTTGTGACTCACTGCAATATAGTTGCAATACAGCACTATTACTGAAGCTGTTGAATTAAAGACTAAGGTCTCCAGATGAGGGAGCTGGATGCCCACTTAGTAGACGGCCAGTCTACAGAGACACAGCTGTGTGACTGTGACTGGTATGTCTGTTCCTGTGATATATAGCTACAGGGTTTACAAACCCTTTGACTAGTTATTTGCCTTGGATAACATTTTACCATTGGATACCATTGTATTCAATGCCCATGACTGGTAAAACTCTGTGGCTTTTTAGCCCAGTTAAGTCTACTGTGTCTCACTTTACTGACACATTTGTGCTTGAACGACACGCTGCTCATTTTATATTGCTGTAAATGTA